TTGGACTTGTTGGATTCATCACATCGAGACGCTCAGTATGACTATATACTCGTTAGATTTAGAATTCATTTGATCATTTATCCAACCATCCAAAATATCCAATTACACTTAAACAATTTTATCTGGACTTGATTGGACCCGGGTTAAACCAAGTTTAAAGTTGCTAGGTTTGTCTTTTAGAGACGCTCAATTCGATTATAAGTTTGATGAAATTAAAATTTGGATGATCACAAGTTCTTATTTGGAATTATTTTTTAGTCAAAATGGTCAGAAATTCATATATGATTAAAATAAAAATTTAAAGTGCATTTAATCCAAGATATTTTTAATTAATTTATTCGTTACACAAAACTAATCCAAATAGAATAGAAAAGAAAATTTATCTACTTTTTAAAAATTTGAAAAATCAATAAGAAAAGGCTAAATTTATAAATATCAATATTTTGACTGCTGTATATGTAATTATTCCATCTTTTTTTATTGGATTCAACCGAACTGTTCCGTAGCTTCAGCCTTTCCAATTCCCGCCCCGATCCATCATTGCGTTATCAATTCGCCACCGAACTCTGGACGACGACGACGACGACGAAAATGCTGTCAGTTTCATTTCGTATCATCGGAAGCGACAGAACAAGCGGACGAAAATTGTGTGGGCAAAACCTAATCCAAAGGTAACCCTAGTTCAAGAAAGAGTGGCCTGCAGAAGCCGCAGCTAAAGCCATGGCCGTTTCGCCATCTGCCCATCCGATGTGGATCCTCTGGATTTTATTGGCGTTAGGGTTTGGATGCGGGCGTACGGCGGCCTTCAAGGTGCCGTTTCGAGTGAAGGATGCACTCCCGATTCTCCCACGCCAGATATCCTGGCCGGTGATGAATATCCTCCATAGCGCGGTCGATCTGCTGCCTGCTTTCGTGGGGTCCGTCGTTCCGGAGGGACAAGTTGTAACGTGGAAGGGGGCATGCTTCTCGGAGAACGAGGCTCGACTTGAGTTTAGTGAGAGTGATTGGGAAAACGGCCTCGGAGGGGGGGTTCTGTATATAAAGGTAAGGCATGATCTTCCTGTTTTTTCTTTGAAACTTTGCTGAGGATGCAAATTCGATGGTAATTTGTTTGTTCTTGACGTTGAACTTTATTTCAGGTGTGTTAGAACTGAATAACTTGTTTAAGCTGACTGTAGGTTCTGTCATTTCTTACTGTAGAAACAATTGTATCTATATGGTTGGGTCTTGATTCTTTTGTAAACAGCATCTCATCAAATAAAAAAGGGATTTTTATATATCAACCACCTAAAACTTTAAATATAACAGATTGATGACCCAAATTTTAAATTTTACATTTCAATCACCCAAAAACCACCCAAAACTTAAATATAAAGGATTGCCGCTGATGTTTCAAAAGAAAATAAAGATTTGGGTGGTTGAAATATAAATGTTAAGTTTAGGTGGTCAATACTCAATACATTATATTTAAAGTCTTAGGTGGTAGGACTGTAAAAGCCCCAATAAAAAAATAATAATAATAATAAAGAGTAAAATACTATGTGGGTTAAGGTAAAGTAATTTTACTGATGTATGCTTGAAGCGACGTGCTATAAAAAAAAGAAAAATTGAAGCATCTTTGTAATGAGCTTTTGTCTCTCTGGTGAGCTGAAAAAGTCTCATGCTCAATGAGAAGTGGCCCCTTGAATTATATTTTTAGAATCCTATACTTTAGATCTTCCTAGTTCTTAATCTATAGATTTATTGCTTGTGGTTAATGTAGATATTTTGCATTTTCAATGTTGGTTTTGAACTGAAAAAATTTCTATAGAAAAATACTTCGGTAGATCATGAATTATATACTTAATGAGTTTAAGGAAGTTTGCTTACATGTGTTTGCATTGTTAGCTCACTGTTGGAAGTTGATTTTGATGTTTGCTTTCCTTTTATTTATTTGTAGAGAAAAGTATCAAAATGATCCCTTGCTTTTTGTTTGGGGTCATTTTAGTCTCAATGCCTATAAAAGTATTAATTTAGTCCCCAGAAATTTTTTTAAAGGGGAGCTGTAATAGTCCTCCTAAGGGACTATTTCAGCCCATATCGAAAAAGTTTGAGGAGTAACTTGACACATTTATAGGCCCTAGGACTAACGTAAATAGTAAAGGGACTATTTTGGCATTTTACTCTTGTGAATATCTTTAGGTCAATTCATGTTCTCTAATCCCCCACTTGTGGCACTAGTGTAGTGCAGGAGTTTGATAACCATGGGGACAACTGTAGTTACAATTAAAAGAGGTAGTAGATGCAGAATTTCTATGAAATTGTTAAAAAGTTGTGCAATTTTTCCTTGTTTTCTTTCCTTATAATTTACACTTTTAACTTGGTTCGCGTTAGTTTAATGAAATCAGAACTTCATTCCTCAACTGTTCAAACAGTGAAGATAACCATTGATTATACCTTTTAATTACCAACTAAAGAAGCATCTTTCTTTGTTTTACAGACTAGTTTAGCTCACAGCTGGGCTTGCTTGGATCTCTATGTATTTGCAACACCATACAGGATAATTTGGGATTACTACTATTCTGCTCGTGAACACACTTTAGAAATAAAGTCATGGGAAGAACCTGCAGAAAAGGAATATGTGTGCTACGACTCTCATTTTCTTGTCTTTTTTTTTT